TAGGGGGTTTGGAGTTTAGGGTCTATCTAGGCTTTAAGTCGGTCTTTAGCTCCGTGAAGAGGCATCTCATCTCTGCAATTCGTTGTATGACTACGTACAGTAAATTTGGTTAGCATGACGTTTGCTACCGCTCTTCGTGCCAGTATCTGCTGCTACCACCTTATCACCAAAAGCGCTACAGGACGAAAATTTGTCGCACTCCCGCCTGTTGGTCTTGAGCCCTTCCCACACTGGCAATGTATGTCGATCACCGACTTCTGACAAGCCATCGCGACATCCAACAACATTTACAAGTTTCAAAAGATTGTGTGACATCGGGAAAGTTCATCTCCCTATGGTGTCACAACAAAGCGGAGCGAGTTTGAAAGCAACTGCGGAAGACTGCAATGCTCGTAGTGCTAGTCATATGACATATGTGGAACACAGACATGTGACGCGCAAGGGTCGCAGTGCCATTCATGACGATTTGAAGTATGATCCTGATGCTGATCACGATCCCAACAGTCCTCTACCAAGATAAGTTTCGGATGGGTTTAGGTTTTGGGGGTTTGGGGTCTTGTGTTTAGGGTTTAAGTTCTGATCTGCCGGGTTGTGCCACGAGCTCCGGGGTTCCTGCAAAGCTCAGGTGAATGATGCACTGAGAGCTCGTTATCCCGCGTGAAGCCTATCTGAAATGTAGATTTATGCCGGAATGTGCTAGTGAACTAGAAAAAAGACTACAGCATCATCAGCTGCTTTTATGTAATGTATGTGGACAGAAACCTGGCAACAAATTACCCCACTTTTTCTCAAGCTGACGGATGACAGCTGCAGGTGCCTCGCATGCTGTCCGGTGATAAATACGGCCGAAACAGCACGGTAAATTCAGTTGGCATGAACATATTTAGGGACTAGGGTTTGAAGTTTAGGGTTTAGGGATGAGATTTTGCTAGGTTCGAATCGGCTCCACACCGGCAGCAGACAGAGGGCGAGCATAACTTCAACGACTCTCGCTGTCCATATGGTTTGCTCAAAATATCTGCAACCCCGATCGCTCCGCGCGTGATGCCAGGAGATTCCCCAAGCAGCCAAGATGGTTCAGGGATCCCACCTGCGAATTGTTGAGCTTCCCCAAAGCCATGTTAAGAGCCACCACTAGGCCCTGATACACCACTATTCCTACAATCGCAAGAAGTCACACATGCTTAAGACATCTCACACCCGCAGCAGCTGCGAGCTGCCGTACGGCCATGTCAACACCAGCAAACACTAGCTTAAGCCCCAAAGCAATAGTCGCGACTGCGGCGACGGATGTGCAAGAGACTCAGGGAGGGCTAGTAAAGCTAGTATCATCACGGGTACGTTTCCAGAACTTCTGCTCTGCATCGCTAGTACTATACATGTTTGTCATGCTCATCGGTCTCATGGTCGTCACCGCCAGCACAAGCAGCAGCAGTTTCCGCGGCAGCAGGAGCAGAACTATTAATATAATGTTACTAGTAGTAGCAAGTTCAGAGACAATCGTCGGAGGAGTAGCGGTACTGGCGGTGGTGTTGTGGTGGGCTGCTGCTAGGCGCTGCTGGTTCGTGCTGTGCTTCATGCTTATCATTGTGTTTAAAGTCAACCACCCATGTCGGGCCACGACGATAACGACGACCACGACGACTTTCAGACGGTCACTCCAACTACAGAGTACGTAAGCGCCTTAGTGCCGGCCCTAAGCATTGACCCTGTACCTTACTTGGGTACTGCCCCCACTCTGTAACAGTTAATATCTATAATATAGTGAGTACATCTATCCGAACCTATCCCTTAATCTGACCTCCGATATAGATTGTTTCGAGGCAGGGGCAGCAACCAACCTATAATCATAATACTAAGCCAGTCGCACCGGAGGGTATCTCAACATGCCAAGGGTTGAGTTTGCAACTCCACGCCGCAATAAACAGATCCCGAACCTCAAAGATCCCTGTACCGAGCAGTATATGCTTTGGGCGTTACAGTAGCCCCTGTTTCGGTACTGTAGGGCCAAAGTATATACTCTCTGGGCACATGGCTCGTTAAGGGAAGAAGTGCAGGCGACAAGAACAGGGTGGTAGTGGCATAAGTCATGATCAGGTTCAGTTCCAATCACTGCTTTATGGTTGAATTCAAAGGAGCATAGGGTCCCAGTTGCAGGGATGAGCAGCTTGAGCTGAGCTTAAGTTCACCACCAATCAGGTGAGGTTTAAGGTAGGTCTGGTTCAGAGTCAAAGTTGCCGCGGTCCGGGCAGCTTGAGCAGAATCTATTTCGTTCTTAGTGGTGGATTATGGAGACTACTTATGGGGACTATATAGGGACCTGAACCCTAAACCCTAGAGATCCCCGTACCGGATCCCTTAAAGGGACCCTAAACCCTAAACCCTGCCAAGCACCAGACAGGAGTGTTTTGGGGCAACCCCGGAAGCCACGGCAGCTCGTAGATTTGCTTGATCACTGGGCCTGGAGGTCATGGTGTCCCTTAAACCCTGGGTTTGGAGTGCCGTACTTGAATACTTTTTTGGTACCTGATCCTTAAAGGAACCATTATGAAATGAAAGTCTATTCTTTGTTCTCCCTGGTTACTTCAAAGTCCTTTAAACCCAAACCATCCTTATGGTTTATATAGGGGTTTAGGGTTCAAGGACAGTTCAGGGTTAGGGGCTGCCGCAGCCCCGATATGGTTCTCAGAGCGGCCGAGTTGTCCTGCGACATCCTACTTGGGAGTTTCCGACATTAGGGAGGTTGCTTTAAAGGGATCCTTTAAGGGTTCCTTAAAGGGATCTATAAGGGTTCTATAAAGGGTTTAGGGCTTAGGGTTTTACAGTTTCCGAAAATCAGGGGTACCTTATTTTGGGGTCCTTACAATAAGGATCCTACTATTTAGGGTATTATGTCTGAGCCCACCCTTGCCGGAAACTCCCACATACGAGTTGTAGGAGTCGGAATAACTAGTCTGGCAGAGAACTCCCTTGTTACCGTACAGTATGCCCCAAAGCCTTCTGGCAGTTATGAAAGCCAAAGTAAATCCCCTACATCATACAAACGTTGCATGCAAATCTCTTCCACACCTCCAGACCTCTTTTGCAGCTAATGTTCACGACCGCATTGCTGATGCACTTGCAACTTACCTTTGCCACCTTGCACCTGCTCGAACCCGCGCACGGCGACGAGAAACGAAGCACCATTGGCTGCTTGTTCGGTTTCGGGCCGAGGGTTCTACACTGGAGACCCAAAATCCCTTCTCCTTGAAATCTGGACAACGCTAAATCCCCGAACCGCGAACTGACTGTGAAAGGAAACCCTGAACCCTAGACCCCAAAAGCCTGAACCCTAATCCCAAAACCCTGCAACTCAGACCTCTCGAGCTCATGTAGCTTACTCGTGCTTCAGGGGTTTGGGGGTTTCGGGCTTAGGGATGTGTACCAAATGACAGTATACTACATCCCAGAACCCTCTTGGACCTATTTGGGGCTTCTACAACCTTGAACCTCAGAAACCCCAAATCCTTTAACCCTAAACGCCAAAGCAGCAGTAAGGCAGGTGCTCAGGTGGGACGAAAGGATGCCTGAGACTCGAATCTCATCTCCCAGACGTTAGGGTTTAGGAGTTAAGGCTTTGGGTTTAGTTTAGGGCTTTGGGTTTAGGGCTTGGGGTTTGGAGTTTAGGGCCGTTATTCTTGAACATACATGATGGGGGAGGTACGGTAGGGGCTTGAATGCTTGGTAGTAGTATTCCCTTATAGTCCTGTGTTGCTATACTGTAAGATGACTTAAAGCCCTATCTTAGTTATCAAGTCCTCTTACAGTACTACATGATGCTACTTATCAATTGATAGAGTCTGATAGAGGATTTGATGTTATGATGTCGAGGTTCCAACTTTCTGGCTTCTACCTTACCTACGTCCTCAAGGGCTTTAGCTAGGATCCATGCAGCGGTTGGAGGAGGAAGGCTTGAAAGGGTTTGGAATGGGAGGGTTGAGGCTTGCGGTTTCAGGGTTGGGAGGTTAAGGGTTTAGGGTTTAGGGGTTTAGGGTCGTAAGGGTTTCGCATTTCAGGGTTTATCGTTTCAGGCTTCAGGACTCCAGGCGGCAATCGCTGTAATCAGTGTATTTGTAAAGATCACTCCCCGCATGTTCAAGGATGGTAAGATTCGACGCGCCAGGCTTGTATGCATCTTTTCTGCGCAGCGCAGATTCAGAAAGAGATGCCCGCATGATTCACAGTGCTGAGCCCTAAACCCGGGGGCCTTCATACTTGGAATGGGGTTTTGGGGTCGTTGCTAATTATACAGGCCTACACTACCCTAACTCCCAAACCCCGGTTCGGGTGTTTTGGACTTAGGGTTTAGGGTTGATAGGGGATCCGGAATCCCACTTTCTTGCGCCTCGAGAGTTTGGGGGTTTTGCAACAGACACCCTTCACCTTGAAGCTGAAATTTTGTGCCCCAAACCCTAGATGATAAACCCCAAAGCCCGAAGCATTCCTCAACCCCACAACCCTGAATCCCACCAAAGGTGATTTTCACACGCCCGGAACCCGAAACCGTGAGCCCCAACCCCTCCCTGCCAAAGGCAAGCCAAAATCTTCAAAGCTTGCCTGTTATCTCGCGTGAGACTTTGGCTCCAAGCTTCCAAAAGACCTAGTGATGATCGGGGTGTCAGGACAAGAACGATAAGGGTTCAGGGTTAATGGTTAAGGATCAACCATGCATGGCCCATGCTCTGTAGGGCAAAGCACACAGGCGTCGGTGCAATCCAGACCCTTGAACCGCGAGCGACGCAGTTTTGGGGTATTTCAGCAGCCCATTCCTTTCATGAAGCTCGAAGATCCTTCCGGAACACGAAACTACCCTAAGGCCCCAAAGTAGTTCCTTGTTGGGGCTCGTATATAGAATCCTATAGGGTAACCCCAAAAAGGAGCTACTACGGGGCTTCTGGGTAAACTCAGATCTCTGAGTCCCTCGCACTTAAGCCGCTTGAAGAGGCCTCAGATCTTGCGTCATGGGCACGGCAGCAGCCGGTGCGGCGATCAGCCCCCGATCAAAAGGACCCCGACCCCGACACCCGATATCGGCCGGCAGCCACTCGTGCTATTGTTTGTTATCTGTACTTGCAGGATCAGGGAACTTAGTAAATAAGGGTATAAGTCCCCTAATTGGGGTTATAAGTAATTTTAAGTATAGTTGCCTTATTTATAACCCGAGTTACTAAGTCCCCTGAGCCTTTAAGTAGCCTTGTGCGAGCATTGGTCATCCTTGTTCCGTCGTGTCGTTGCTGGCAGCCGCTCTGTCTGTTGCTTGTTATCTTGATACTTTTTCCTGTAGGAGTATGAATCAATGACGCTCAGTACAACTGCTGCTTCTGGCAGCACCTCCTCCTTGTTAGAGACTAAACCTTGAAATCTAAAAGCCCTATACCCTCAAAATCCCAAGGCCTAAGATGCCCAAAGCCACGAAAGTCCTCAGCCCTTAAAGCCCTAAACCCTAACAGTCCTAAACCCGAAAAGTCCTAAGCCCCTAAAGCTCTAAAAGCCCTTAACCCAAAACCCTAAAAGTCCTAAGTCCGAGACCCCAAACCCCCAAAAGCCTCAAGACAGAGGAGCTTTTCAAGATGAGGAGGAGCTCGTGGAAGGCATGCCAGTCGTCTAGGGTTTAGGAGTGACAGGTTTAGGGTGTGGGGATTAGGGTTTGTGGTAAAGTGTTTATAGGGTTTGTGATGAATTGTTTAGGATGGGCAAAGTTGGGTTTTAGGTGCTGAGTAAGGGTTCCAAAGGGTCTGAAAAGCGGCTCTTTAGAAGCCGTTGCAGGGTTTTACAGGGCTTAGGATGAATTAAGTCCCCTCCATTATTTGAATCCTTGAGCCTTCCATTCAATGCGATGGTTTCCGGCGTTATACAAGGTCAAGGAGGTTCGAGGCTTAGTGCCTCGTTGCCTGGTGTTCCCGCCATACAGGTGCGCATGCATTCTGTAGATGTTTGAACACAAGATTGCATTCGTTCATTGAGGAGGGCATCCATGGGACTCAACAATCGAACTGGGAAAGGGGTATGGGCGGACAGAAGAGCAAGCGGATGCGCGCTGCAGCTTGCATGTGGTTATGTCGTGCGACGTTGATTGTTCCACGATACCATACACACGAACATGGGGTACCCTGTTCTGTCCGGTGTTCAGTCTGCAGGGCATGTGCAGGCTGTGTAATCAGCGTTCCGTGATTGGGGGGCTCAGAGCCAGATCCAAGAATTTTCGTGAAGACCCCTACAGGTGCCGGCTCATGCCAAGACTGGTATTTTGCACTTCATGTTTGGCTGTGTAGGGTGTAACATTGAAAGCTGAGCATCCCTCATGTGCTACAGCCCTATGCAAACTTCAACACTACCGAATCCCGACAAAGCAACTTGAAAGTCCCGGGCCAAAATCGTGAACTCTGAGCCCTAAGCCTGAAGCCCTCCACTTTACACCTTAATCATGTTGAACCACACATGCGATTGCGTGTCTTCACCCACAAGCGATGCGCACTACACCGGGTGCACGCTGAGCCAAATCGTTGAGCCGGTCATCGCGCCTTCCTGCTTGGAGGGGCTTAGTAAGTCGGTTATAAGTACAGCTATAAGTACCCTAAATGGAGTTACCCCAAGTATAACCCTACTTATAAACGACTTATTAAGTCCCCTGGCCCTCCAAGTGGCGCATGAGAGATGAGGGCAAGAGGAGGAGATAGGGACCTACTTGGAGGGTCGGAAGACTTACTAAGTAGGTAGTAAGTAGACTTATAAGTACCCTAAAAGGGACCCTAATTGGGGTTATGGTACTTATAAGTCCAAAGCAAAACCAGTTACTAAGTCCCCCGACCCTCCAAGTACGGAATCCGTCCTGGCGGCTGACTCCGGGGCTCCACTTGGAGGCCCTTTTGACTTAGTAAGTAGGGTTAGTAAGGTGGGTTATGGGGATTATAATAGGGTTTCTAGGGGATACTAAGTAGACTTACTAAGTCAACAGGGCCTCCAAGCACGGATCCCAAGCCAGAGTTTGGTGACATGCGCGATCCAGTGCTGGGAGGATGAGGGGACTTAGTAGGTAAGGTTATACGTACCCTAATTGGGGCTATAAGTAATTACAAGTATAGTTACTAAGTCCCATGATCCTTCAAGTGTCATGGCATGCGATGCCGGTGTTCTTGCTGGAGGAGCTGGTTCACAAGTTCGATTTCTGCGTCGTGCTACACGGGACGGCCAGTGTTGAGCATGCGGCTAGTGCGTGCATGCGTGCTCAGTGTGCTTAAGTGGCCATCAGCCCTAAGCACCAGTCCAACTTAAACGATCCTGGGATTTCGTCACTGTCGTAACTCCAAACCCTAAACCCTAAACGTAACTCTAGGTTACATGGAAGAGCAGTCATACCGAAACCCTTATCGCAACCCCGTTGTTGGACCCTCCAAGGAGGATCCCCAAGGCTCCCTGTACCCATAAAGTATATACTTAGGGATAACTAAAGTTCTCCAAATCAGGAGTATATACTTAGGAATAATTAAAGTTCTCCAAATCAGGAGTATATACTTAGGAATAATTAAAGTTCTCTAAATCAGGAGTATATACTTAGGAATAATTAAAGTTCTCTACATCAGGAGTATATACTTAGGAATAATTAAAGTTCTCTACATCAGGAGTATATACTTAGGAATAATGAAAGTTCTCTACATCAGGAGTATATACTTAGGAATAATTAAAGTTCTCTACATGAGGAGTATATACTTAGGAATAATACTTAGAGAATAATTAAAGTTCTCTAAATCAGGAGTATATACTTAGGAATAATTAAAGTTCTCTAAATAGGAGTATATACTTAGGAATAATTAAAGTTCTCTAAATCAGGAGTATATACTTAGGAATAATTAAAGTTCTCTAAATCAGTATATACTTAGGAATAATTAAAGTTCTCTAAATCAGGAGTATATACTTAGGAATAATTAAAGTTCTCTAAATCAGGAGTATATACTTAGGAATAATTAAAGTTCTCTACATCAGGAGTATATACTTAGGAATAATTAAAGTTCTCTACATCAGGAGTATATACTTAGGAATAATTAAAGTTCTCTAAATCAGGGTGACGTTTCAGATCCCCTAAATAGTACTGCACCATTATTCTAAAGGACCCTAATTTAGAGAACCACGCATGTACTAAATGGCCACATGGAGCCTTTGGGATAAAAAAAAGCCGCCGACGCAGGCACCGAATCCTCGGCTCCTGTTTCGGAGCGGCTTCTCTGGCGCGTATCTCAGCTGTTGGGGGGGTTTAGCCTAGTAGTAGAGTAGGCAACCTTTCACCTTTTTAGGGTATTATGGTCCCTATATAATCCCTATATAACCAAAAAGGTTAACCTTTCGTTCCCCATGACACCCGACAAGTAGGTTAGGGTTTTCGGGTTGAGGGTTTTAGGGTTTGGGGTTTAGGGGTTTGGGGTTAAGGGTTCTGGAGTTACATGCTTGAGAAATGACTTCCTTTAGGACCGGCTCTTTCAAGAAGCCATTATGAAATAACCATGTGCATTTTTGTCCCAGCTTCTGCGGGACTCTGGGGCTTGGGCGGCGCGGAGCCTTGGACTTAAAGCTTTGGCATACTTGGAAGCAATTTTAAAGTTTGGTTTGCCACAATCCCTCAGATACGGCTAGAAAGTATAGTTGCTGTAAGGGTACCATGCAAGTTCAGTATAGAACTGGGCTGGGAGGGATCGTCACGCAGAAGCTCTTGTACTTAAAGGATCATGGGAGTCAGTAACAAGGGCTATAAATACAAGTAGCTAGACTTATAGTCACTTATAACCCCAATTAGGGTACTTATAGCCTTACTTACTAAGTCCCCTGATCCTCCAAGTATTCCCTAAACCCTCAACCCTATAGATTCCTTTAAGGAGCCCCCATAGATCCCTTTAAGGAACCCTTTCAGAAACCTTACTTACTAAGTCCCCTAGCTCTGCGGAAGCGGAGTTCCCAAGGCTTCGAGGCCAGGGAGGGCAGGCCTATAGGATTCATAGGGTCTACAGGGAACTCCAGAAAGTTGGAATATGGATTAATGGTAGGATCCCCTATAATTTACCTTAAAGGGGTTAGGATAATGATATTCCAACTTTCTGGCTTCTACTGTAGGGGTTTAGGGTTTCGGGCTTTGGGTTTATAGGGTTTAGGGGTTCAGGGTTTAGGGGTTTAGGGGTTCAGGGTTTAGGGGTTTAGGAGGGTTCATACTGTTGATGATATGAATCCTGCATTACCTTAAAGACCCTGAACTATGGGAATTAAGGTATATTCCTTATTATGGGTAATGCAGGATTTATATCATCAACCTTAGAGTCTAGGGGTTTAGGGTCTAGGGCTTTAGGGTTTATAGGGTCCAGGGGTTTATAAGGGCTTTAGGGTTTATAGGGTCCAGGGGTTTCTAAGGGCTTTGGGGTTTATAGGGTCTAGGGGTTTAGGGCGTACAGGGTTTATAGGGGTCTAGGGGTTTAGGGGTTTAGGGCTTATAGGGTTTATAGGGGTCAAGGGGTTTAGGTGTTTAGGGTTTAGGGGTTTGGGGTTGAAAGGAATAGGGTTTTAGGGCTTAGGGTTCATAGGGTTCAGGGGTTTCGGTGTTTGGGGTGTAGGGCTTAGGGGTTTAGGGTTTAGGATCTAGAGTTTCGGGTTTAGGTGTATAGGGTTGATGGTCTAGAGTTTAGGGTTTAGGGTCTAGAGTTTAGGGTTTAGGCGTTTGGGGTGCAAGGGTTGTGGGTTTATATAGGGCTTCAGGCCGGTTTCAGAGGGTCACATTTCAGGGTACCCACTCATTATAATAACCGATCCTAACCATAAAACTAGCTACCCTGAACGGATTTCACTAAACCCTAAACTCCTAAACCGCAGCCCAACAACGTCAACCTATAGCCCTACCTGGACCCCAAAAGTATGCAGAATAATAGCCTTTCATCATAGGTTTTGGGCCATGATTTTACTTACTTTTGGGGGTCTAGGTACACCCTTAACCCTCTCCTTCAGGCTCTACCTCTTCGCATTCTGGTCCCAGTTCAAGCCCTCTGAGCTCGGATGCCCCAGCAAGGGTTGTCGGTCTTCAGGGTTTGAGATTATTCTAGGGCTTCGGAGAATTTTTCAGTTTGGGGTTTAGGGCGTGGGTCGTAGGTTAGGGCTCCAGGATTTGTTCAGTTGGGGGTTCAGGGTGTGGGTCTTCGGGCTGTAGAGTGTTAGGGCTACCTTAGAGCAGCTGGCACCAGGTTTCTGCATGTCGCGTAGCATATGCGAGCAGCATCGGGGTCTGAAGAGTTATAAATAAAGCAGTAGTATCACAGTTTCGGGTTATTCACGCCCCGAAAATTATGCCCAGACTCACCTCTGCTGATCCTTCTAACCCTCTGTGAGTCCTTTCCCCGCCCGAACCCCTACTTAAAGGATCATGGGACTTAGTAACTAGGGTTAAAAATAAGGAACAGTTCAAGATAACGGTTATACCCTAATGCTAAGACTAGTTGGCTAATACTAAGAGATCTTTGCTGCTTTGAGGGCGATGTAGGCTTTGGGGGGGTCGGGGATTTCCTGGTTTACGGAGTTGGGGCCTACAGAACTGGGGTTCGTGTCATGGAGTGCTGGAATCAGTTAGGGCTTTGGTGACTTTGGTGTTCTTGTTGGGGGATGCCAGTTCTGGGGTTAAGATGTTCTGTCATGTCCAGATTTGCGTACGGGATGGGGATGGTAAGTAAGCCATGAGGAACAGAGCTGTTAGTATCGGCCCTGGGCGTTTAAGACTGCGGGGCAGGGGTCTTGTCCTCCTCCTCCTCCTCCTCCTCCTGCTCAAAGCTTGGGATGTATTAGGAGCGAGGTTTGCGGTTTCTATTTTAAGGTTGGGTTTGGATCTCGGCTTCGAGCTTTCGTCACTGCTGCTGTGCCTGCGAGGTTCACGTATTAGGTTCCCCAGTCGTACCCTGATGCCTTTATATTTTGGGGCCCCAGGATTGAAAGAATCATACCAGGTTAAAAGTGTACCCTGAAGGACACCGGGGAAGATAGCATATGAGTTCCGATTAACCTGCACCCGTAGCTCCCAGTTCCCACGATCCAGATAAAGGAGCCCATGCAGCGCAAGCCGTAACTAAACCCGAAATCCTGGGCCGAAACACCAAAACCATCCCAAAGCCTGCACTGGCCTAAACTACCCTAAACCCTATAAGCCCTATAAGCCCATTGTCCCTACAAACTCACCCTATAAACCCTACACGCCCTCAACCCTAATCCCCGAAAGCAGAGAGATGTTGCGAACCAAGGCCTTTCCTGGTGGATTATTTGGTGGAGGAGCCGATGCCCAAACCCTCTCAACGGGTGAGAATTGCGGTCAGGTATCAGTCTTTGTTATAAGCTGAATTGGAATAATACTGTATATATATATATATATCCTTTATATATATATATATATATGGATATAAATATATATATATATATATATATATATATATTTATTTATTTATTTATTTACGGATATGTAGCTTTGTATGTGTGTGCATGCATGCATGCATGCAATGACCCTGTAAAGCGCTTGACCCTAGTTCCACCGCCTTAGACTCTTTACAATAATCAACCTTGATATGTACGATGCACCTCGTAGAGGATGGTCGTCCTCGGGGCAGTGGGCTTAGGGTTCGCGTTTAGGGTGTGGGTTTTGGGCTCTGCGATTGTATTGTTTGGGGCCAGCTGGAGGGGGAGGCGGCGGGTGGGTAATTTGTCGCTTCGCTGTGTATCTTTGTTTCCTTGGATGCTTAGAGACGGGCAGAGCTATGATCTTGCGCTGCGAGGAGAAGGGAATCAACAGTCAACAGGCCTTTCACTCGGCATTGCTTTGCTGCTCTCCAGAGAAGGCATTGATGAACGCGACTTAAACTTTGCAGATGTCGGTTGCAGATACGTCCCAACTTGGATAGTTGCTTGTGTTTTTGCTGTTAGTCGATACCGTCCTCAAGTACATCGAAAGAGAAGGAGAGACAACAGGAGACAGAAATAGTCAAACTGCACAAGTAAAGGTAGCAGGGCTAGGTTTAACTACCCAAAACACCCTGCGGGCATGTTTGTTCATGCCCTAGTAAGGGCAAGCAGGAATTTAGGCAACACGATCGAAAAGGCGCCTGGCCCCTGTGCACGCCATCTACAGAATTCGTGCCGGAAAGACGCGTCTCTCGGCAGGAGCTCACGGCTAGACCTCATAGCCGCAAAGCGGCATCCAACAACCCGAACCTTGATGAACCCTATTCAAAATCATCAATGCTTCTACACTTGTGGCCTTTACTTTCATCAGGTCTACCAAAGTGTCTTCGACCTGTTCGTTTACACCCGCCTGCCGTTTGTTGCACTGGCTGCAGCCTCAACAGGGGTTTGTTCTGATTGGGTCTCGGAAACATCCCCAACCTCAGAACACGACGACTTGCCTCTTCTTGGCAGTTGCCCAGCGTTTTCCCGGTTTCTATGTTTGCTTTTGTCCTCGTCTTAAGGCCACCTGATCCGATATCTTTTGCTTCTTGATAGCTGAGTAGGTCACCTTTCACCTTTTGGGGCTTATATGAACTTGTATGGATCCTACCAACATTGAAAATTAGCCGTTTTTGGGCAAGGGTACTCAGCCTTTAAGGTGTTGTCATGGGCAATACTTTTCGTATAGAGGTAGAACTGATCGCAAGTCGGCACCTCCCCACCTCCAAACTTCTTGTCCTTGGCCACGATGAGAGACCCGACCCCTTCAACCCTGCAAGCCCTAAACCCCCAAGCCAACAAGCACAACACCTGATAAGCACATGATACCAAGCTCGAGATTCCATGCAGTTCCGTGCGAAATCCTGAATTTGAGACAATTGGAGCTACAATTCAGAGCCTGGCTTTGGAGGTGGGGCTCATCGCTGAAATGAACTGCTTCGGATGCCCCGAGCTTAGCTGCTGGAAGGCTGGTAATAGGGTTCAGGGTGCTTGAACAGTTACTGACATGGTTTCGTATAGTGCTCCATACACACTATTATTACAACGGTTTCAGGCTACGTTCTTAGTCTTTTGGGGTCGGGGGTGCTTATGTCGAAGGCTGGGTCGGTGGTTTTTATCGGCGGACAGGGTCAAGCCAGGTCCAGGTCCGTAACGTAAATCTGCTGAAGAGGGGCTGCGGGGGAGGAAGGACTGCCGAAGCGGGCTACTGGCCGGGATTCGTGTGGCAGACTGTACCCGAGATCCTGGCCAAAATCCACCGAAACCCTAAATCCGCTAAGCCCCGAGCCCGCCGCATTGCTTTTTCCAAGAACATAGCGCCCAATAACGAGATGAAAAAGGGCTCCAAATCTTCCTATCCTGAGTTACCCAGGGTGGATGATGAATGATATCCTCTTATGGTAACCTGCTCCTAGCTTAAGCCCTAGACCGTAAACTCCGAAGCCTAAACTCCAAAAAAAGCCCTTAAAGCCGAAGGCTTCAGGGTTTAGGGTTTAGAGTTTAGGGTTAATCCCTAAACCCCTGCACCCCTAAACCCCTCAACCCTAAACCCTATATACCCTTTGTCCCTTTGTATTACCCTCCTATCAGGTCGGGCCGTTCTCGTGCTCGGAGCCATTTGTGGCGTGTTTACGGTGCCCACCCAAGGAACCCAGGAGTTGGAGTGATGCAGTGGGCTGCTGAGGGGTTTCGTGACAAGACATGCCAAGCCTTATTCAAAAAGCACCAAAAGCTCTTCACGTAGAGAACACGGTATACACAGAGGCTCCATATATTATATATAGTACCCATTGTGGAATTAGGTCCCTCAAACCATAATAAGAATGGTCTTTTGGGGCTTGATTCCAGAATGGTACTATATATGGAGCCTCTGGGATAGATGATTGAGGCCGTAGAGGCCCTAGAGGCCTTTTTGCTGATCTAAAGTGAGTTGTGCAGGGATCGGGGCAGGCTGGCAAATAGAAGCAAGTCTAGTCATGAATCTCCGGTTGAAGTACCGCCAATATGGGTAAGGGATCTTCGTAATGGTACCTATAGTAAGAAAAACTGTTTGACGATAGTGATAGAGTAATAGCAATAGTGAATGGTGATAATTGTGTTTGTGTTTGTGTGTGTGTCTTGGAGGGTTGCAGAGTTTACAGGTTAATGGTACTGTAGAGTGTTAGCGCTTGATCCTGAACCCTGTATCGTCGTCGATCCTTGCTATGAGGGTTTACGGTCTGGGGTTTAGGGTTTCAGGCTTAAGGTTCAAGATTTTAAGTCTAGGGCTTAGGGTTTTGTATGTTACATCAACCCAAAAACCGAGAATGCTGAGCTCGAGCAGCATCAGTTGCCATCACCATCGTCATTGGAATCAGTTCAGTTCCTGTTTCTCTAATCCCTTAGATAGTGAACGGGGGAACTTTAAACTTTTTGGCCTTTTATATAAGCTCTATCTTAGAAAGTTTGAACTTTTTGGGGCCCGGTTGTTGAAGAAGAGAGAATCCCAAAATCTAAGCTTGGAGCTCCCGTCATCTGGTCACATCAGCTGAGCCACACAACTTTTCGTAGCACGTCTACGGAAAATTGTTCCTCCGCATGTAAAAGGTCTATTCAGCACGAGCACCCTCTTAAGCTACATCATGCCACAGTCATCTGCGCTTGTCGTGTGCAGAAGAAAGACACTGCAATTCCAAGAAAGGTTACAGTTGCGAAAGCGTTGGAATTGGAGTCACCATTGGCAAGGCCCAAAGTAGCACTGTGAGCATGTCGTTTTGGGAGGGGAACGGCAATAAAGCAGCACGTTTCACACACACACACACAACCACTATTGAAGCCCCCCCTGTACATGACAAAGCCTTCGACAAGTTTGTGCTGCAGGTGCTTTGCCATATGGTTTGTTCCGAAAATGTTCGGCTCAAGCTTGCTCCGGTAGTAAGCCTTTTCCGCCAAAACGGCGGCACGGCCTACTTTTCTCGGGCCTCTCTTGGCCTACGGTTTATGCTTCGGGGCTCCGGCTCCAAAAATATGACCATCAGGAGTTAAGACATTTGGGCCTAGATTTTACATGCCTATTCCTCCACCAGTCATAGTGCTCCAACTTGCGACCGCATCTAACAGAGCCTCAACGAAGGAGTCCAGCAGTGATAATATAGATGCCTGAATTATACGTCGCTTGGGTATTCTTAATTGCAACTGTCGTATAAGATTTTACAAAACCGTGTTCGAATACTAGATGTTCCATCTTATAGCATGGCTGTTGTGGTCTTACACATTCACCAAAAAAACCCAAAGCATGGTGCTGTCGCATGTGGGCGTGCCCAGACTTTCTCTATGAGGCCAACAAGCCTACTCTTCGCCCCTTGTCGGTTTAGACTGTTCAGACGTCCCTGTAATAAAGGCCCTTTCAGAACCCGAAAGAAGCCCTAAACCCTAAACCAACAAACCCAACCCCAATTCCTAAACCCAGGGCCTAAAACCACATAGAAGCGGCAAAGCCACCATTATGGTACCTTTGTAGACTCCGTGCTTCTCCGGGCTTTCTTTTTCCGGGTGAGAAAGTGGGATGTTCGGGCTGCAATAAAGAGGCTTGGATAGCTGGCAACAGTTTCCTGACGGCTCTGATTCAAGGGTTACATACCTCCAAAGCGCTGTTCTAGTTATGAAGGCCCCAATACTGAAACTTTTAGTAACCGCATAACCATCCGAGATGATCCTGTAAAGAACTCCTTTAGTTTTAACTCCTACTCTACTTATCAAGTCGGCCTGGAAGGATTGAGCTCAGAGAAGACAACAGGGCTTGGGATGAAGAATTTGGGCTTGGGATTGCGCTATCGCCTGGGACTTGTTGTGGGAATGTTGCCAGTGGGATTGTTTACTTAAAGGATCCTGGGAAAGAGTAACTAGGGCTCTAAATAAGGAAACTATACTTATAAGTGCGTATAACCCCAATTACGGTATCTTATGACCTTCCTTACTAAGTCCCCCGATCCTCCAAGTAGACCCTAAACCCTAAACCCTATAGATCCCCTTAAGGAGCCAGAGTAGCTGCCTTTAAGGAGCCCTTCCAGAACCCCTACTATGGGCGAGGATTTCATCAGACTTTCAGTTAGTTGCCCCATTTGGTGCCGGGGGCTTTGAGTGCTTAAACGATCATGGGACTTAATAACTAAGGTTATAATTAAGGCAACTATACTTATAACTACTTATAACCCCAGTTAAGTCCCCTGATCCTCCAAGGGCACGTCTGGGCAAATCACAGGAGGTCCAACCAGAGCCTTCCTGGACTTTCGGATAGGGGAGTTTCCGAAACTTAGGGGGTACCTCATTTTGGGGTCCTTATAATAAGGATCCTACTATTTAGGGTACTATGTTAGGGTCCCCTATTTTCGGAACCTCTCATATTTGTTCCGGCCGGAAAGGAGCCTGCCAAACGACAGCCTATAGGCTTTAGGATCCTATCCCCAGGTATTCCTTTCTGCCGGCTTCAAGCCATCCATGGCAGGTGCAGGGTGCAGGGTGCAATATTCAGTGCTTGGGATCTGGGGTGATCATCTAGTGTGCAGGGGGTTTTCAACCTGGAGCACTATTCGTACTTAGGGTTCTTAATGTAATGAGTATAACCCAAATGCCAAAGCCCTAGTTTGTTTATCAAGGCACCTACATTAGCATGACATCTACCGTTTTGAGGCTCGTGAGGTTTCGGACAAGGGTTGATGTTAGGCGCTTGGGATTTCGTGTTTAGGCTCTATGGTGCAGGGCCTAGGATTTGCGGTTGAGGGTTTGGGGCCTCAAGCGTTGAGGGTTTAGGGTGTAGGGTTTACTGGGATTTAGCATGATGTGCACGCGGTTCATTGCCTCAGGGCTTCAGTATAGAAGCCTGGGTCGTTAGTAGTCTTACTTTTTCGGGCAGCTATGCACCTCAAAACCTGTCTCTAATTATAAAGGCACCTATGTTACAGTTTCCATGTGTAAAACTTCAGGGATGTTGGGTCTGAAGGACTTGCATTTCGGGCAGGGGCGAATGGAGAGGCCTGAATATGTTCGTTCGGGTTCGTGAAACCCTAAACCCCAAACCCTAAACCCCAAACCCTCAACCCTAAAAACCCTAAACCCTAAACCCCAAACCCCAAACCCTCAACCCTGAACCCCAAACCCTAAAACCGCAACCCTAAACCCCAAACCCTCAACCCTAAACCCTCAACCCTAAACTCCAAACCCTCAACCCTAAACCCCACACCCTAAACCCCAAACCCTCAACCCTAAACTCCAAACCCTAAACCCTCAACCCTAAACAGAGCCACTGCACTTTTAAAAAAAAAACTCGGAACCCTCAACCCTAAACCCTCAACCCTAAACTCCAAACTCAACCCTAAACTCCAAACCCTCAACCCTAAACCCCAAACCCTAAACCCCAAACCCTCAACCCTAAACTCCAAACCCTCAACCCTAAACCCTCAACCCTAAACTCCAAAACCTCAACCCTAAACCCCAAACCCTAAACCCCAAACCCTCAACCCTAAACTCCAAACCCTCAACCCTAAACCCTCAACCCTAAACTCCAAACCCTCAACCCTAAACCCCAAACCCTAAACCCCAAACCCTCAACCCTAAACTCCAAACCCTCAACCCTAAACCCTCAACCCTAAACCCCAAACCCTCGACCCTAAACCCCAAACCCCAAACCCTCAACCCTAAACCCTCAACCCTAAACCCCAAACCCTCAACCCCAAACCCTCAACCCTAAACCCTCGACCCTAAACCCCAAACCCTAAACCCTAAACCCCAAACCCTAAACCCCAAACCCTCAACCCCAAACCCTCAACCCTAAACCCTCAACCCTAAACCCCAAACCCTCAACCCCAAACCCTCAACCCTAAACCCTCGACCCTAAACCCCAAACCCTAAACCCTAAACCCCAAACCCTAAACCCCAAACCCTCAACCCCAAACCCTCAACCCTAAACCCTCAACCCTAAACCCCAAACCCTCAACCCCAAACCCTCAACCCTAAACCCTCGACCCTAAACCCCAAACCCTAAACCCTAAACCCCAAACCCTAAACCCCAAACCCTCAACCCCAAACCCTCAACCCTAAACCCTCAACCCTAAACCCCAAACCCTCAACCCCAAACCCTCAACCCTAAACCCTCGACCCTAAACCCCAAACCCTAAACCCTAAACCCCAAACCCTAAACCCCAAACCCATCGGTGGCTCTTTTTGCTTCTGCCACCGCCTGACAGACGAGCCCGTCTGCTTCGACCTTGGGGCTGGAGTTCCTTAAAGGGATCTATGGGGTTCCTTAATGGGAGCTATGGGGTTCATTAAAGGGATCTATGGGGTTTAGGGTTTAGGGTCTACTTGGAGGGGCAGGGGACCTAGTAAGTCGTTTCTAAGTAGAATTATAAGTACCCTAAATGGAGTTACCCCAATTATAACCCTACTTATATAAACGACTTACTAAGCTTTACTTACCGGGAACCCGAAGACTACTGTTGACTGGCATTTACTCAGGCCCATGGACTAGGCTTTCTCGTGGTTCAGGGTTTGGGGCTCACACTTACCTGAAGCTGCAGGATATTCTTTCATCTGGTAGTCGCACGAATAGTGCAACAGAAACACAGCCCGTCTCCTCACCAATCCCCAGCCCATGCTTCCAATCCCTTTTATAACTTTTTCACACCAGCGA